GTCATCTATATTCATCATATATAGAAATAGAAATATATAAATTGGTACGCATACATTCTCTTTATATCCAGTATCTGTTGGCCTTCAGCTATGAGTATATTTTCCTTTTAAAGACATTTGTACCATCATATAAAATACAATTAGCAAAATCTTACCATTAAAAACACTTTTTTCTTATACAACACATTTAAAGACACATACTGACACATATTTAATAATATTTATTATCATATATTATCTAGTTTCATTAAAACAGGAGATGGTTCTGAATTACTGAGATGATCAAATACTGTATATCTGTAACATTGCCAATATCATACTTTTTCTATATAAATCAGTTTGATCTCATGCAGAAATAAAGAATAACTTCAGTTGTGCAGTGAGATTTAAACATCTTTTCAGGAATTATGAACCTTTTTTATGTAACAATAGCTGCATGGCTGCAAGAATTCTCTACTAATTATGAAAAAACTAACATGTAAAGCCTGAAGCAGCAGAAACTCATTAAAAACACATTTTCAACTTGTTCAATAAAACAACTGAAGGAAAATGAAGGTTTATTCTTACCTGTTACATACAGTTTAGTTCCAGAGCCAAAGATGAAGTAGACACAGTGAGAGAGACTAATACAAAAACCTGTCTGCTGTTGAATGTCTCTTTAGACACACTAGCAGTGTTGCTCTATGGATGGTAATGTCTGTCCGTCCACTACTTTAGTCCACATGGATTGGACCTGGACCAAAGGATGGATGGATGGACAAATAAAATCTTGTACAGACATTCTTGGTCCTGGCTCCTGGAAGTTGCTCCATGTCCTCCCTGATTCATATTCTTCATATACGTTTACAGTCTACCTATACTATTCATTCTATTGTACATATTGTTGTTTTGGTCTATTCTGTACATACAACATTTATTGTATCTCATCCTGGAAGAGGGATCCCTCCTCTGTTGCTCTTCAAGGTACAAAGTAAGTTATTCTGTCAGTATACAACCAAGGTTGCACAATGAAAAGAAAGTAGCAGGTGGGCTGGTCCTGCCGTTCTGGCTGGGTGGATCGTCTCTTTAATCCAAACCCCACACTTCCTTTGCTGATGACTGCAGTCTATTTCTGTCAGAGGTAATACGTGTTTGAGCAATAAAGCTGAAAACAGATTGAACCTAAACAGAGAAGTTTGAAGGAGCTAGCCTACCGACCGCAGCATCTGAATGTGCAGCCGTTCCCAAAGCAGTAGAAATAATCAGGAGTTTTCCACCTTGATTTTTCACCTGTTAAAGGGTTTTTGTGGAGTTTCTCTTTATCTGAATGGAGGCTGTGAGGATAGAGGGTGTCGTATGCTGTACAGATTGTAAAGCCCCTTGAGGCCAGTTTGTGATTTGTGATATTGGTTCATTGGGTGAAGGGATGAGTCTTAAAGTGGAGATGAAACAGTCAAATATACATACATTATAATATATAAATGATAATAATAATCTAAGTCTCTTGCTCATTAGGAACAAGAATTGTACATTATGTGGATAAGAGGAGCTTCACTGAGTGAGCCTCTCTAGCCTGTTTTCTAAGCTCTGTATGCTTGTTTTAGTGTTTTTGAGATACTTTTATTAAACCAATCGGAGCTACAATGTGTAAACTGTTTCTTGGTACTGTTTGTATCATTGTGAAAGTTAAATGACTTTAAAAAGATGGCTAGCTCAGGTATTAACTGTAATATGTAATGAGAGTGCTAACGGTGTAGCTGGGTGAGCTAACTGTCGCTACAGCCGTTAAATGAGAGAAATAGAGAAGGCTTATGATGCATATTGGTGCTGATATGATGGCAGGTTGTGATCATTGTTTTCTGATAACTGAGATGTATATAAGGTGTTATATTGCAATGTAGTTGTATCAATATTCAAGTTGGTTAAAAAGGAGTAATTTAATACTGTTCATTTATGGATAAAAAGAGTTAAAAAGAGAAATAGTGATTAAAAGAGCTGTTTAAAAATATAAAGAAGTGAAATATAAGTTGATGGTAAAAATACTTCTACAGTACTGTAAATGTATACAGACTCATTTACAATGACTTGAATGCTGTATATCCTGCATCTGGGTATAGATATGGAAGATATTTAGAGTGAAAAGTGAAAGTAGAATGATGTGATTGAGAGTAATGGTTATGTTTTCTGCACTCTATGTGTAGATTGGTGTTTTTGGATTTGCCGGATTAGGACTTGATCCGGATCCGAACCAGTGGAGGTTCGGTGGCGAGCCAGGAAAGAAGAGCAACTTGGAGGGAACGGTGCACGGTGTGGCCAGCCGTGGTATCCATTCTGAAGAGCCCAGACATCATCTCATTTCACTCTCTAATACAGATAATAACACAGAAATCTACCCGGGTAGTAGTAGTCAATAGAACGGACTGAACTCTTAACTTCTTATAAGAAGAAGGGACACTTTTATTTGAACTTTTCTATTTTATTTTACTTTTCTATGAAAGAGCTCTATTTGTTTGTATTGTTTTATTTTCCATATACTGCCAAATAGTTACTGTGTGAGGCAATAAATTGTCAACTTTTCAACTTCACGCTCCCTCATTTGAATAATGTAGAGGTCCAACTCACCCAACCTAGTAAGAGTGATGGTATGGGCTGATTTTTGTGTCAGTAGAAACTGAATCTGAATTGCTCAACTTGAATAATTGCATTAAAAAACTGAATCTGAATCATTTGAATTTATTAGTTTGAAACTGAATTTGAGCCTCACTAAAAATTCAACTTTTTATGTACTTTCAGATTCAGCTCTCTAAAGTCAAATGTCGTAATCTCAACTCAATTTCAAACCACTAGATTACAGTTTTAAGGTCACAGACGGGTCAAGGTGTTCAGGAAGAGCAATCGAGTGCAGATGCACAGAGCTCCTTTTTGGCTAAGCAGCAGGTTTGTTTTGACCATTTCCTGGACCTGTAGACATTGGCTAGAGAACAACATGCTTAAAGGAGACATATTATTCCTCTTTTCAGGTTCATAATTGTATTTATTTTATTTTTTTATTTTGGTTTGGTGTGTGAACCACTTTGTGTCGGACTGTTTTCACAACCTCGGTCAGTACAACACTGACTGCATATATGCCATTGATTCTGTACATACTGATGTTTTTACACATCCCTATGTATATTTTGGTATAACATTGTATATATGACTTGCATATTAAAAACTAAAGGAGATGTGGATGAGTGTGTGAAAGAAACATTTATTCAAAACGTAATGAAAAAGGCAAACTGAAACTGAACTGAAATAAAACAAATGAACAAATCTTTATTTTTATTCATGCACAGAGAGAGAGAGAGAGAGAGAGAGAGAGAGAGAGAGAGAGAGAGAGAGAGAGAGAACAACATTCAACATACAGGTGTCTTAAAGACACACAAACAAAAACATTAATTGGAGCCTATAAAGTTGCTGGCAGGCAAAAAAGATTGAATGTAAACAAGTGTAAGATCATTGCATATACCACAATATTAGTTTATATCAATGGGGTATCATAGAACAACAAATGACTTAGGATCGGTTTTTCAGAAGCCTGCTACTAACCAGTGTGGAAGTAAGAACATATATATTTATAAAGCATACTGTAAAAAAAGCTTTAAAATCAGCTAACGTGGGTCAAAGTTCTGAGCTCTTACCACGAGGAACAAGGCAGCCAGCTCACTTTTACCTCTTCTCTTCCCTGCACACACACACACACACACACACACACACACACACACACACACACACACACACACACACACACACACACACACACACAGAATCACAGACACACACACACACACAGAAACACAGACACACACATACACACACACACACACAAACACACACACAGACAAAAAGAAGTGTTAGCCATTCCAGCAACCACTGTTAAATGAACTGCTATTTCACTCAGTCAGTTACATCTTACCTCCTTTAGTTGTTTCTTTTATTTCATTGTAGTGAAATATTTTTTGCTTCTAACATTTTCGGAAGCCTAAAATTATGCTAAAAACAAACAGAAGAAAGAAGGAGAATAAATGTAGAAACAGACTATGACATCCCCCAGGTGAATACAGCTGCATTTCCACTGTCAAGAACTCACAGGGGTCAGCACAACCGAAGCAATGGCTGAGCTTCACCCTGGGTTTGAACCACCTTCTTGATCATGATATCTCACCTATTCACTGTTCTTTGATTGTTATTGTGGACCTGGTACACCTTGGTCAAGGTTCCGAGCTACCTGAGCTGATACTAAAAGGTGGTGTGACATTACTGCCAACCACTGATGAGTCACATGACAGTTGATGTCCTGCATAAAGCCTAGATTTTTAAATAGCCAAACTATCATTAATAGTTAAGTTTTTTTATTCACTCAAAAATGGCAGCCCACAACACCATGCTGTGGTCAACTGACAAAGTCCAGACTTGTCCAGAACATAGCTTCATATCCTCTGTTATGAGTAGCGTAGCTGTTTATGTGCGTAGTGTGTTGTCAGTGTGGCAGTAAATGTACAGTGTAGCTTAGAGTCTGTCAATAAATAAAGGCTGCAGCTTCTCAAGACCAAAGTAAAGCTTGTTTCCCAACTTCATTGCTCTGACAATCACCTCTGCCTACATTGAGGGGGTCCCATCCAAAGTTCTATCTACAGTGGAAAAGGAAGTCGAGCACCCAAAAGTGAATAGAGTAGAGTTGAGCTGTACAATGCTGACGCATAGAGGAAGAGAAGGAGTGTCCATCTTGTCTCATATGTGTCCACATTAGTTTTTGTTTTATCTCATGAATAATTTATCTTCTACATGTAGATGAGGACAAGTTAGTGAGTAATCCTTTATGTTTTTTATTGTTACTGATAATAACAGGGATTAGGGAAAAAACTGTTCTCCGAAAAGTCTTCTGTTTACAATCGCTCTTTGCATGTGTCTGATTCATTGTGTCTACATGCACACAAACAATATTATCATGCTGCTATCAAGGAATTGCATTGCACATTTAATTTGATGAGTAGGCTGTAGCACAAAAACAAAAAATACCTGTCTTCCTCTTTTTCTTCCCTTCACCTGTTGCACTGGTCAGGGAGATAGTAGGTGTGGGAGAGCGGGAGCACTGTGCAGACACACCTGTGACAAAGGTGGATGACTTTAGACACATTACTTAAAATATGGTAGAAGGTGATTAATGCGAATACTCACTTTCAGTCATGGTTTTTTGAGAGGGAGATGCTGAGGCGGTGCTTGGAGGCTGGACAGGGACGAGGGTTAGGGTGTAAGTCTCCTCCTCATAGTCCATTTGGGGATGAGAAGTAGATGGGAGAAAGGTGGAAGGGTCTGGAGGATGAGGAGGAGAAGAGGGTTGGGAGGGAGAGCAGGTAGACTGTGGAGTTGGAGATGGGCTGGGAGCTTCTGGCAATTGCATCCTTTGAGAATCTGAAATAATATAAATATAAATATTACTCACAATGACAGCAGATCCCAAAGCATAAATCATAAAAACAGATGTTTGCCTTACTTTTAATAATGTACTCATATGCCCTGCTCATCTTTTCTAAAAAGGGTTTTACAGGCCCGTCCCCTCCAGGGCACATGTAGGTGATCATTTCAGCATTTACTGTGTTCACCCTCTTCTGCTTCCTCCCGATGAACAAAATTGGGTTGTAGCCAAAGGCAGCAAGCTTGCTCACCTGAAATGTACACAATTACACAAAATGTTAACATGGCATTATTATTACACACTGACAATTTTTTCACTTTATTTGAGTGTTATGTGTGCACCAGTGTTTGCTAATGTCTATAATCTTTTCAAGGGTTTCTTGAGAGTTTTCTAATGAACTGTAGGTGTGTGTACATATAGCATTCTTTCAGACAGAAAAGTGTGGACAGGGTTCTGTGGAGCGCTGGGATGAAGCACTTGTGCATTGAGAGAAACAAATGCTATGTTAACAGAGAGTTCACTGTCTCTGTTATTATAGTTTCTGTCTGAAATATCATAAAGCTCAGGAGACAGACATGGCCAAAACAAGTTTTCCCTCCATTTCTTTTTAGTTTAGTTCTTCGGAGATGCAAACACATGCATTGCACCCTCATTTTAATATTTTGCACTTTCAGTTCAAATTACATATTAATGCCAAGCATAAGGTGGTCTGGCACATGGACTGCGTGGGCATCTTCATGCTCACCAGCAGCTCAATCAGCAAAAGAGTTGGATGAAGATTAATAAAGGTCAGCGGGTGTGGTGATTAATAAATACTCTCCCAGCTTGTCACATCACTGGTCTCATAGCTCTGAAACAACTGAGCTAATCAGTTAAACATGATAGCAACAGCTCAACAAATAGAAATCTTCATCTCAGGAAATGTCTGGATGGTTCAGAGAGTCACAACATGAACACACCTCACCACCAATCTGCAGCCAACGACAAATGAAGTATGATTTTCCCATAAATAGTTAATATAATAATATATAAACTGATTATATGATTATTTCGGACAAAGACTGTTTTATTTGGAATTCTAATGTATCCCACCTCATACATGGTCACATAGTTTAGTAATTAATGATATACAAATGTGTTTGCACTGCACTGGTCACAGTATTTAGCCATGATTCCTCTGAGGACTGGAGTTTGAGGGTATGGGTGTCCTTCTGACTCGTAAAGCAAACTGTTGCTGAAAATGACTGACACCCTGTTTAACTTACTGCTGTCTACAACTTTATTCGTCTGTGTTCAGCATAATCTGTTTATCTGGGACCCAACTCTGGATCATCATACACTACTCTACTTTAATAGCTGTTGGCAGCTCGCACTGTAGCTACTAGGGTACCACCATTAATTTGAGATGCACCTGAAGTCATTTGGTTCTGGAACCGGGCCTAGCTCTCTCCTCATTGGTGTTATATGTGCTATATGGACCACAAGCCCATATGTCAATAATGAGCCAACTCATTTTGAAACTTTAGCTAAATTTCAGGTTAGGGGTGGCTCATATAAAGAGGCGGCATTATGTTCAACAACCTTTGATGAATACAATGGACTTCAAATTTGATGCGCACACACAACACATCAAAGTCAATAATATTGAAATGTTTCAATGACTCTACACTGGACCTGACAACCTACAGCCACTCATAATGAAAATAATATCATGAATGAATTAGAAGAAAAGTTGATGAACTCCTTACCGCTACATGGGCTGAGGCCACAACTCTGGTGCCGTTTCTATGTTTTATGGTGTTCTGACCCCAGTGGCCTGCCCTCACTGCCTTTTCTTTTTCTTTGAATGACTTTTTTTGCAGGAGGCAAACACAGCAGCTGGTCCTCTGATTGGCATGATGCTTGCTCCACAATAGGGGCAGCTTCTTGCTTTGGGCTTCGTCATGACTTTGAGAGCAAGATGAATGGAAAAGCAAATAAGAGTGTGACACATAAAAAGAACTAAGTTACAATTGACTGCAAGGGCTGTCTAAATACAGCTAGCAATCTCGATAGCACACACCAATTTCCCGTTGACCAGCATAATGTGCATAACATAGCATGCATTAGCTAAATGCTGATGTTACATTGAAACCTTTTTAATGTGTTATACCTGTGTGTAGCACAAAAGTAATATTGCTGCATCTGTAAATATACAAACTATATTGTTTTATTGTTTACATTTTTAGGTACATGCTCAAAACATTAAGTGTGTTTCTTACCTGCTTCTTCCTTCTACTAAAGATTTTCTAAACCTGTGTTTTTCTCCCTTCCCGCTAGGACAGTACCCGCGTTACAAGTACCGTGAATGAGACGGTGAATGACGTCACTCTCGTCGCTTGCACTTTAAATCATAAAACATAAGAAACAGTATTTCAGTAAAGAGAATTTAAAAATATGTATATATGTAAATTAAAAAAGAAGTCAAAAAAGAAAACAGAAAAAAAATATATGAAGCGGCTGTAAAACTGTGAAATAAACATATTTACTTTTTTAAAATATCAATCATCTAGATGAAGTGTAATTACTGATTCGGCTGCACTAAATGTTTGATATATTCAATAGATGTACGATATTATGACCCTATTTTACAACCCTACTTTGAAAACCGGAAGAACTAGCTAACCCAAATCCACATTTATAGAATCACAGTTAGTATATCTGACATAAGCCAACATCTTTACTTTTTCTTAACATTAATCATATAGATGAAGTGTAATTACTAATTCGGCTGCACTTAATGTTCGATATATTCATTAGATATATCTTTTACGACCCCATTCTTAACAATACTTTGCAAACCTGAAGAACTACAAACATGGTGCTTGTATTGAAAATTGGTGAAAATTTATTTTGATCATACTTGACAGTGCCCCCACTTGGTGACTATATTTATATGAATATAGTCACATAGCTGAAGTCAAGAGCTTTCTAAAACAGTTGGTCCAATGTCTGTAGCCTCTTCTGTTGCTGAATGACAAGCCTTCCAATATGCACTGAAGTCAAGGTTCAGAGGTCAATATTTCACAGCAGGAGCCACTTAAAATCTTCAAACTGACATATGTTACTCACCAGGACAAAGTTTAATTCTCACCTCTGTTTGGTGCCAGCCTCTTTCAGGTGTAGTTTCTGAGACCATTTGAGATGAACTCAAGTCTTTGGATTTTTTTGCTTATTGTTTGAAAGACCTATCAACACATTATTTGGTCATAATGTTAATTATGATTGCAGGTGTTTGCAAGCTTTGTGTAATTATTAAAATGAGCCATGTGTTGATTCGCCATTTTGTTTTAATTTATATTTTTTTAAGTTTTTCTCCATCACGCAGTTGCTAGGTTACCACCAGGCTGTCAATCAAGCTCTCAGACAGAGAACGTAATGTGAGCTAACGTCGGTTGTTGGACTGAAATTCAGAAAATTCTCATTCTCATATGTAAAGGAAAAGCCCTTTATCCCCAGATAAAAACATTAAGAACAGTTTGTGTATGATGGTTATTAGACCTATGTAATCTGAATTGGAAGGGCACGTTGTCATGAGCTGTATCTTGTATATTTATTATTAGCTATGTGGTATGTGTATGCACCTTTATGTAATCTGGTGGAAAAACATTAACATTTAAAACCGGATCATACCAAACAAATATCTGCTTGCGTGTCCCTGTGTATGCAAAGTGTCCTCCTTGGATGTTATACTATATAATTGCATTAAAACTGTTCATGTTATTGAAAACTTGATGCTGAAAATCCCATGTCACTAGTCCTTCCTCTGAATCTCTCCTCTTGCCATATACTGAATTCATGTACTCTGAAAACATGTAAGTCTACATAAGTCTAACCTAAAACAGTAGTAACATCCAAGGACTCAATCAGAAATGTAGCTTTATTGTGCCTTTGTTTAATTAAACATTAAAGAACAATTATTAATCAAACAGTAAAGATCAACTGGAAAGAAAATCCCTTAAAAGATGCAGAACTGAACATCAATCAAAGATAAGACAGTAAAGGACAGTGGTTTGTGTTGTAAAGATGTAAGACAACATTAATCAGGAACTTCCCACAACCCAGTAGAAAAATCAAACCTTATATAAGTGATTAAACATTTCAAAACCAAATGCAGAAATAACAACAACCTAATACAAAAACTACAACTGTCATCTCCAACTTAATCCTGACAATGAGCACATACGTTAGTTACTTTATAAAGCCACATGCTCTGTGTGACCATGTGTCGCACACGGTGCACTGTGATCACGAGCACCACATCTTCCTGTTTTACATTGCATCAGACTCTGAATCTTCACAACCAATGTCGAACTCATCTGAACTGTCCATTGTGTCCATTATGTCATCTGCTGATGACAGCACATGCAGGTAGTGTTTTCTTGTATGCCGCTGCAGCTCTCTCATTTCCCACTGCCTTCTGAGGATGAGGCAGGTGTGGTATTCGTTGATCAGGCAGTCACCAGACGTTACATGATTAACATCGGAGTCAGAGGGAAGTAAGACAAAAGGTAGTGGACAGACCAAATGTGATTAACAATGGAAGAACGGGTGGGTGTGGGGTTTGATCAAGGGGACAGGAGACAGTATGAATATATATTTGAGTGTGAAAAGGACATGACCAGTAGGGGGTAGTCGAGCCGGCTGCAATTTTCTTCCTCACATGCAAAGCTTTTGAGTTTTTACAGGCAAATCATAAGCACATGTAAAAACTAAGCATCGTTGTTATTTACTTTGTGGTTGAATTTTTAACCAAACGTATCTTACCGCCACGTGACATCCAAGTTAAAGGGTACCCGTATCCAACGTGTGCGTCGCGTCGGAGAAGATGACGTCAACACGCAACGGCAGAGAAATCAAAATAAAAGCTGATGTTTAAGCATTTGATTAATAAAATATGCATTTATGTAAACAGTAATTGTGCAACTAACTTAACTAACTACTAACGTTTAACTTTCCTTTATCCTAATAACGTTTCTACAGGATGTGTATTTATGAAATAGAAACCACTAGTGTCTTTAGTATTAACGTTGCTCTTGCTCGTAAAATATTCTCTTCTGGCTTTATTTTGAAAGTGTATATTTATTTTGCTAATTCAGTCCACCCGGATGTGGGTAAATGTGTTGTGTTGTTGCTAACTTGACAGTGTC